CCCCCCCCCCCACCCATGTGAAGCCAGGAGAGGAAAGGATGCTTCGTAGAATCGGGGATATCTTTTCCAGAAACACAAGACAAGATGTGAACGTTAAAGTGCGAAACAATATCACGGCAAACGCGTGCAGGCTCCAGAAACGCACGTAAACCCAACATCAACACAGAACGAAGCGCTCGAATTGATAACCCTCAGGGCTATAGATTCGAGATGCTTGCGTGGACGGAACTGATGGAATCCCTTTTAGGAATGCCTGATAAGATCAGAAGCTGTCGTCTCCAATGTCTTTTTATTATAAGTTCTAGACAGGCGTTCGGATGTTGAGTGTGAGTAGTTTCCGGGAGGATTGTAGCCCAAATACTTATTACATATTAGCCTGAGTGCTCAACGCCTTAGCAACTGAGGTATGGGGGCGGGACATGTTTCAGCAGAGTCACGCTATTCACGAGCTTGATAAGCAGAGAGCCAAACTATCAAACTCGATAAGTAAAGTCACGCCATTCACCAGCTCGTTAAGCAGTCACTGTCATTCACCAGCTCGATAAGCAGAGTCACACCATTCACCAGCTCGATAAGCAAAATTACGCCATTCACCAGCTCAGTGAGCAGAGAGTCAAGCCATTCACCAGCTCGATGGGTCTCGTATGAATACAGTCATACAGAGGATCATAATATACTCAATGAGGTAGGAAAAGGACCCTCCAAGCAATTCTTTTCATTATTGGGTCATTATAGACAACTGCAGACGAGAAGAATAGCGACGAAGGAACAGCAGAACTGATCAACGGATGGTCAAGGAAAGACCGACGTGTTTGCTCTCAGTACCAGGTGTTCCATCTTAAAGTATACCCCAGAAAATGTGACGCGGAAAAATTACTCTATGAAGAAATGCAAGGCTTAGAAATGCAATATAGGTATGAGTATAATTTTACTATCAATCGGGCTGCAGTTCCGTCCTCAACAGAAACTTAGCATTGGATCCATAGCATTGCATGGAAAGAATGGGCTTGAAAATACCATGTACATCATTTACATTTCAGTTAGAAAGTGCCAGCCTTGCATGTCAGTGATCGGGACGCGAAGAAATGCAGCACGATTTATGGTGTATGCAAAGAAGTTCAGTACGGACGTCAGCGCACCAAAAACTGCGACGCGACCATTTGCGCGCAAAGTCTTGCATGCGATGAAACCCATTAAAGAAAGTTTGACACCTTTTTTGTACCTCCAATTATTATCGGATTAGACACGTCAGATTGAAGCCATCCTGAACTGGGTTAGTTACTCGCCGGTTACAAGTCGTTCACGTGCTAGCAGAAGTACCTGACGAAGCTTTTCGGCCGTGCTTGTACAATATTTCCTGCACGTTGCTGTTTTTTTTGTCACATGCGCCACCACATCTGCATCACAATTTTCAAACTCATCTCAGGACGATCTGTTGCGGGGAGCCCTTGAAAGTTCCAGCAACACTTTCAGAATTGTCCGAGGCAATCAGTTCTAATTAAGCTGAAAAATATTCTCTTAGATTGGCGGAAATAATTTAACACTTTACACACTCTTGCTTTTGCCGTTATTTCCGGCCCGTCCGAAGCACAAGAGTATTCTAAATATTTTCGATAATCCCTGTGGATCCCTTTGAAAGCGCACGCCATATTAACGCGTGTGCTTGCGATGTCATCATGCCGACTGCTGGAGTTGCGAGGACTTCAGTTGGCTCCAGAAGATCGTGCAAGCTCATTTCCATTCATTGTTACCCTCGGAAGTATCACCTCAGTTTATACCAACAATTTGTCGTGGCCACTGCACGCACGTTAGGCCGCACCGTCCCTTCTTAAAAAGGCAGTTTCTTCAAGGCGGTTTATAACACCGTTCATAACACCGCATGGCGTCTCGGACCACATTTCATAAACGATTAACGAATCACATGTTTGGTGATCACATCAGTATTTTCCCTCAGATATTTTGCCCCGGAAAGCCACCCATTGCGAGCCTCTCACAAAACTATGGATTTACTCCGGCTCGTCATGGACAGACATATTTCTCCACGTCGAAACGAAGTTCAACTTTGCCAAACATAAAAGCTGCTCATTTTTAACACGCACGCAAACTAAATTGCTCGAAATAAGCGGTGAAAGCAGGATTTTTCCTGTTTAAGCACAGCCTATTACTTGAGCCCCCAACCGATTTTAAAAGGCGGCTCTCGTTTAAGCATAACGCTCATATCATTCCACGATTCTGTCAGAAAGATTCAGAAGCCCATAGCGTCAAACCCTATTTGGCTGAATAGAACCATTTGGTGCGGGCAACGTGTTGAAAATTGCGTAGCTGGATCCAATATTGATACCTTTTCTTTTAGACACCAAGCGGACTACACAGCTAATTGCAGGCAATATGTAGCATCGCTTATGCAATGAATGAAATACCTGCAGCATTTAGGTGCGATCATTGCAGACTGACAACAGAACTGTCACATTTCTTTGCGTGCCTGCCCAGTTCCGCTGTGTGGCGCGGAATACCTGCTCCTGTGACAGCATAGCCAATTAGGAGCCAACCGCCCAGGTTAGGCTTCGTCAGTGTCCACCGGTCGACTGACGTGTGCCGCCAGCAGCCGCCGGTCGGCTGACGCGAGCTGTCGTTGGTCGCCGGTCGGCTGACGTGTGCCACCAAGAGCTGCTGGTCGAATGACGTATGCCACCAATAGCCGCTTGTCGGCTAACGTGTGCCGCCAGCAGCCGCCGGTCGGCTGACGCGAGCTGTCGTTGGTCGCTGGTGGGCTGACGAGCGCCGTCAGTAGTTGCCGGTCGGCTGACGTGAGCTGTCGTTGGCCGCCGGTCGGCTGACGTGTGCCACCAAGACCTGCTGGTCGACTGACGCATGCCACCAATAGCCGCTGGTCGGCTAACGTGTGCCGCCAGTAATCGCCGGTCGGCTGATGTGTGCCGTCAGTGACTGCCTGTCGGCTGGCGTGTGCCGCTAGTAGTCGGCAGTCGGCTGACGTTTGCCGCCAGTAGTCGCCGGTCGGCTGACGTGTGCCGCCAACCGCCGCCGGTCGGTTGACGTGCGCCGTCAGTAGTCGCCGGTCGGCTGACGTGCGCCGTCAATAGCCGCCGGTCGGCCCACGTCACCTGGCGTCACTAACCACCGGCCGTGTGACGGCGCCAGACGGCCGTCAGTCCGCGCGTCGCTAACGATCGGGCCGTCTGGCGGCGCCTGCGGCGCCCTGACGTCAGCCGGCGCCTAGGTAACCGGTGGACAACTGTCGGGCGCGCGGCCGACAGCGGCGCGGCCCGCTCCAGCACCGGCCGCCCGCCGCCCGCCGCCGTCCGTCGCCAGCGCTGACCCGGCCGTGCGTGACCCGCCCTCTCGTGCCTGCTGTAGACGTCGGCTGTGGAGAAGACTCGTGAGACCCGAACGGAGAGTACGTGATGGTGCCGGCGGTGACGTGACGTTCGTGTGGATCGCTCACGTGCCGACCTCTGGAATATCGGGTCTAGACGGACGGAAAGGTGGACGAGCTGTCGATGACCTGGACTGGTCTGAGAGTCACCTGTTCCTGATCTGCTTGCTTGCTCTCACCGCAGCACGAGCTTACGTCGTCGCTTCCCGCTGAATCGGTGCTTGATTTCGTCACAAAATGCTCATGGTGACTGACACTGCTAGCCTGACAAGTGCAGATGCCGTGTCAGGCCACAACGTAGACGCTCTGTCAAATGGAGATGCGCACAATCTTGTAAATGACATGAACGCAGGCGGTCACACGAAGCTTATCCGGCTGGACAGAAACCAGAAGCGTGAGAACCGCTTTTGGAGAAAGCAAAGAGTGAAGGAGAAAAAACAGCGCAAGTGGGAGGAGCATGTGAGGAAACAGCAAGAAGAGGAGCAACATGACGTCAACCACACTCGGGGTGATGACGATGCCTTGGAAAACGATTCTGGCGATGGGCACGATGCCAGTGATGCCGTTGAAGCCGCTGCAGACAGTGCTGGAGAGAACAGTGTTGGTGCTGCGGACACAGATCATGGCAATGATGTTTTTGATGCCAGTGGTGATGGATTGGACGATTCCGGGTACAGGGCGGAAGAGGATGCACAACAGAAAGATGGGATTGATGTGCATAATTCTGATGCCGAAAACGACGCAACAAGACAGAATAGTGACCACGACGGAGATGACGATGTGGAGGACCACGACGATGATGGAAATCATTCGTTGGCAGGATCGACCAGAGATTCGATCAGCGAAGCAAGTTGAGGAGGGCTCCCGGCAGGGCAGAAGTACGTCCGCAGCGGAAGCGGAGGGACACTCCGAGACGGAAGATCAGACTGGCGGCGATGAGCAGCACCTGAGTGAGGAGGGCGAAGAGAACGTGAGTGAACAAGAACGTGACAGCGATCAGGGCGGCGATGGCGCAAGTGACGATGAAGCCCAGACGCCAGTCTCGGATGAGGCTGAGGATCAGGACAAAGATGAAGAGATTGATGATCCCCAAACTCAAATGTCGGAGGAACCTGAGGATCAAGACAAGGATGATGTGATTAATGACCCAAGTCCCGTAGAAGATGAGGAATCTGCGGACGAGGTAGACTCAAATGAGCAGGGGGCTCAAGAGGATAGATCCGGACGTGACGGCTATGAGACGGATGATGAAAGGGAGAGAATTCCTGCGACAACTTACGATGACGAAAGAGAAACTGTGATTAATAGCTTCTAATGAAGACCAGCTTGAAGACCATGACGACGACAATGCCGAGGTGAATGAAAATCCGTCTGAAGGCCAAGACGACGACAAGTGCCGAGGTGAATGAAAATCCGTCTGAAGGCCAAGACGACGACAATGCCGAGGTGAATGAAAATCAGTCAGAAGACCAAGACGATGACGCTGCCGGGGTAGACGAAGGCAAGGCTGATGGGCAGAGCGACGCCGGGCCGTCGCCGTCCGAGTGGGTGGGGCCGAGGAGCGTGTCCCCCTACATCGAGCAGCAGCAGCACAGACCGGACGAGGATGGCGAGGCTGCCCGAGACGACGACGCAGCTGGACGAGGGCGCCGCGGACGGGGACTCGGTGTTCTCCGCCGGCGAGACGGCGGACACTGCCGGCCAGGACGGTGACCAACTTGAGGCAGAGCCGGCCCGACTCAGGTGCCACCAGAGGCGGCCGCCCAGCCGCGTCTCGCTGGTCTACACGTATGCCAGCGGGCCCAAGGTGCTCTCGCATGTGGAGTTGGCGCCGGAGACGGAGGGTGAGAGACAGCCGTCGGCGAGGGAGGACGGCGAGCCGACCCCCCGGCCTGACAGTGCCGACGACAAGCTCAACGGCAAACACGTCACCTTCGAGGAGGACGTGAAGGCGGCCAGCAGCGTTCGCATTCGCCGAAGACGGACGGGGCAAGAGGACGAGGCAGACGAAGACTCCAACCAGTGGAAGGAGATCCGGAAGAAAAACAAAGAGCGTCGGAAGAACAGGGTTTCAAATTCGTTCAGGTACTGCCTCCCTTTTACCTTGGGCTGTAAACAATTCATCATGGTTTCTTGTTATGGGTTCTGAATTCATCATATACATTTGTCTAGGGTATGGCATTCAGAGGATTGGGTTCAGAAGTGTTCGAGTTTCTTATTCTGGAACGAGCCAAAGAGGTTCTAGAACACAATTGGCTGACCCCAACAACCACGTAACGGCGGGATAATGGAAATGTCTCCACAAAATCACTTTCCGTCTTGCCTCACGGCGCCGTAACACTGTGGTCTCAAGGGCCATCGTGGCGCTTGTATAACTACAGTGCAATGGCCTTCTGAGGGACCAATTGTTTCTGCAGAGATTTTCCAAAAATTGTAAGTGAATGTTGCCAGGAAAAGAAAGAATTCACATATAAATGAGGTAGACACGGGCCATTTTTGTGCTGCCTCATTTGCACACAATCTGTTTGTTTTAGTGGGATAATTCCTTTTTAGGCCCAAAATGCATTCAAATGCTAGAAGGATGGATATTGCATACACACATGTATAGGCTTCGCATAATGTTTAAAATTTTGGGAAGTTCTTACACCTTCGACTGAGTGACCAAGTCTACATAGTTTGGCGATCTCTACTTCCAGGCAGCAACTCTTTTTCAATGCATCAAGTCTTCTTCATTTCAGCTATGCAGTTGACATGGAATGTCAACTGCATGATTAAATTTAAAGATCTCTGACATTGAAATGAAATAACAAAATTCGTATGCATTTCGGAAACCTCACCTGGAGTCGCCATGTCCGGCCCATGTGGCTTAACCTGGCTTTAGGAGCGATGCTACTTGAAGGTTAGGCCACCAGCCACGCAGAGCTTAGGACATGCCAGCATACCTATATCGTATTCCCGTAATTTTCGACCAAACGTGATTTGGTTGACAACACATTGAGACGTATTGGACACGCTCTCACTCATTTCTGCGCTGCCCACCCTGAGGTAGGCGTCGTTGAGCGTACACCTATGCTTGAGGAGACAACAAAACACACAGCTTGCCTTTGTTACCGAATCTCATACTTGGCAGATACTTTGTCAATCATCCTGGAGTTACTTGTTTATCTGGTAGGATGGATGTAATGGCCTAAGCTGTCTGCAGTAAGAATGTGCCGTGATTTGTAACGTCTTTTGTTTTCTTAAAGGGACGTTCTAAGGCCCGTTTCCAGTTGGAAGTAAGTTACGGCCACCAAGGATGATGTATTGTGATGGGCATGCAGAGCACGTATCAAACCAGCAGAGCTTGTCTGCAATGTTCAGGCATCTGTTCCTAGAGATGGGTTGCTGGACAAGGCACGGATTGCTTGCCGGGGGCATGCCAAGTCGACAGTCATATGTTGACCAACTTCGTGAGCTTCGTTCTTTCGCTTTCGGTACAGACACAACATTTTTATGTTAAGAATCAAAGGCATGTAAAGGCACAGTTGTTTACTGTACTGCACCGTCTGGAGTGTGTCTTGCATCGATTCATGGTAAACGCTAAACGAATAAGACTTGGGCGGCATTTGTTGCAATGCGCAAAGTCGTGCCATGCTGCGTTGCTTTTCTGCAGTACGTTGGAATATCTCATGACCCGGGAGAACGAAACATTTTTGGGGGAGGATGGAAGCATCCTTGAAATTGCCACATAGTACATACGGTTGTATTCAGCAATGTATGTAATTTTACGGAAGGACAGGCACGAGGTTTTAGTATCACGAATGGCATAACTGTTTTGTCTGTCGTCCTTGTCCAGTGTATAAGCATGCACGCAACGTTTCGGCCAGTTAACTACCCGGCGCATGTCAGGTGTAATGGAGTCTCGAAAGGACTCGATACAATTGGCTCTCACTGATGTACGCGTAACAGGTGGAATTCTCTCCATGACATTGTTGGGATTCCAATCAGGATTTTCTGGTTGCGAGTTCAGTGCTCTGCGATTTGGCCTAACCAGGGTGGACCTCCTTGCTTTGTTCCTCCCGGTTACTTAGCTAGTAGAGCACCAGACCCACAGGTAGAAAACCCTAGTTCGAGTCACAACAATTTCAAGGAAAGCATTCGGGTTATAACGCGTGCATGGATGAAAGCCAGAGTTCATACAGTCCTTTTTAGAACTCCATGGTAACTGGCAAGGGCCGGAGGGTTAATGGGGTGTTCCACATTTGTATGAGATTTTGAACTGTAATGGCCATCTTGAAGATCATTCGGTGCGGTTCACAGCCCTGCCCTCCTCAAGAAATAAACCCGTCTAATTACTGAGCTACACACCTGCGAAGATATGCCAATATTTTTGGGAAAAATTTCAAGGACACCCGGCCTACATGAGACCATTATGTCATTCGAATCCTGCCGTTCCACTGCGGTGATCAAGGCCAAACAAAATAAAATTTTGAGTTGCCCATATCTGGTGCGTTCGTGAGTACGATTTCCATATTTAATGGCAGTCAATTCGCTTCCAATCAGTGCTGTGTAAGGTGTGATGACATCATCAAATAATGACGCATTGAGGAACATATTAATAATCTCAAATTGTATTGCCTAGAGCAGCCTTTTCCACTTAGGATCATGATATATGATGCTTGCCTAACGATCCTGATGAAGATGCTGTTCTAAAACACTAGTTGCTAAGACTACCTGCCCATGGAGATGCCTAAGATACCTAAGATACCTAAGATACCTCTGTACGACATACCTGCGGGCTATGTCGTACAGACTATTTCAAGGCTGTCCTAGGCATGTATGACGCCATAGCAACGTAATTCAAGTCCTGCCACTCCATAGGCCATGCAGCGTTTAAGGCCATGAAGAATATAGCGTCTAGCCTTTCAAATCTGACGTCCGTGAGCACGATTTCCAAATAGGTTGGATGTCAGTTGGCTCTCAATCGATGTTGAGCAGGCTGTGCGAGTTTCAGTCATGCATCTCGTTTTGTGCTATATGATATCAGAAGCTGGACATAACTGCTAGTTGTTATGGAAATAAGATATGTAATCAAATAACTTAAGAACAGCGCCATAACTGAGTGTGTAAATGCAACTAAACATGTTAAGCTCACGGATAAATACACAAGGACACCACGAGGAGGGGCTGGAGTACGAGCACATAACAATGTTTGGCTCAGCGAATACTTTCGACACCGCCACTGTCATCTCTCGGCGAGTTCGAAGTACTAGAAGTGAGTGCTAGGGTGGCAATTTCGGACGGCTAGTTTAGCGGCATCTTAGCGCCATACGATTTGACGCACGACGCAATTAAGCAATGACGCACTGCGGAACATATTTAAAGAGAAGAAAAGTTTTGTTGGCTAGAGCAATCCTTTCCACTCAGAAACATACCAATAGTAAGTGAGGCTCATAGCATCATGTCGGATGCTTACTTGAAGACTTTCAAATGTGGATCAGTCCCTTTGGCATGCCGAAACGCGGTGTATGCTGCAAGTAATATTCAAATCTGAACGCAAATTGCTCGTGGTACATGCTCTCATGACGTCGCTGATACGGCCCAGCAACGGTGCTTATTGGATGCTTAACATCATGTAGAATCCTGTACTTTGGAAAAATTATGAACCGAACAATGCACCAATCTTTGTAACATGACAAATTTGGCAAGCGCTTTTGAATCGCGCTCAATGCAAGCTTGCTTTATCACTGAATGTTGCACATATGGTTTCACTTCATTTCTGTGAAGTTGTCGCTAAATATTACCCCGGTGTGAGATCGTTTGCCTGGATAAATGACAAATAGGGCATGCCTGCATGCCTTTACATGCAACATGAAACCGTCCTTTGGTATCTGTTGTCATATCAACCTGATGGATTATACCAGTTTTGAAATTGTTCAATGTATCCGGCATGATGATTGCAAAGCTACTGAATTATTTTGAACGATCCAATTACTTCTAATTCTTGCCGACAGGGCGAGCAGCTTGCTGATGCCGTGACTTCGGCGCTGTCCGGGGACCATGTGATGGTTGTCGATCTTTTGCAGGAGCAGCAGCACCTCTGGCAGTCTGATGAACGACAAGCGGCTGATCAAGACCGGTAACATCGGCACACTCGTTTTACACGGCCAGCCTCAGGTAAGAGAACGCTTATCGGATGGCCGTCCAAGCCTGTCGGACCATACCGAATGGTTACGTGCCTTTGCCATCTCCGGTGGCGTTTCGCTACTTGCTGACATGCATGCCATTGCTTGCAATAAGCATTGCATTTCTTGCCGATCACAACTGTTCTTAAGGAAGATTATTAAATTAGTAAATTCAGTTTAGGAAGTTAAGTATCTTCGTGATGCAACCCGTTAGTAAATTTGATGAGCGGTGTGCAACGACATGACATCTCGTTTCTCATGGCGTGGTAGAGGGAATGTTTTGTATTTTCGTTCACCTGTCAGATATGACTAATGCCTCTCTGTGACATGCCGGTGCCTGTCTAAGATGTTTTCCCTCCTACACATGCAGCCGCGCTGGAACGCATACTTTGGTAATGCTCGGGCTTTGTCGTACTCGGTAAGTACTGCCGCTGAAGGTAAAAACATATATTTTCGACAGCGCTGACCAATCACGGCAAGCGAATCATTGATACAGCTTTGCAGTCCCGCCTGCAATCGGCTATGTGTTCTTTCAAAATTAATATCGATCCAATAATTGTCTTAATTGAGCCTAATAGGTACGTAATCTAAGTGCATTGGCGAGGAACATTATGCATATAGATTAGACGGCAGTAATAGCTTTATTCCTCGTGGGAAATACACAGGATACTGGAAAAATAGATACGATGGTACTTCGGCAACATGCCGTAAGCGAAGCGAATAACAGCAGTAAATTCCACATTGCTCACCAATCCTAGATTTTTTTTAGGTTTAAAAAAGAACAGCGAGCCACAGTTTTTACAGGTCGTCAACATTCAGGGTATTACACGAGTAATTGCTAGCCATTGCTACGATAATAGTGCATATCTAATTCAAAATCGGGTTGTTGGGATATGCGCGTACATATAAACGAATTCAAGCAAATAGGCGTCACGCATCACGCCTCATTTAAACATGCGAGCGATTTCTATAGAGCATTTTATCAACAACTTTAAACAAATAAACGAGCGATCGCTCGCATGTTTGATTGAAGCGTGGTGCGTGATGCCTATTTTACTTGAATTTGTTTGCATGTACACGTATTTTTTGCGAATTTTAATACTTAGATATGTACTGTATCGTAGCGACGGCTGGCAATTGCCCCTTGTTTAATTCCCGGAAATGTTTGTGACGCGTAGAAACAGTGGCTCGCTGATTGAAAAAGCACATGAAAAGTAGGATGAGTCGGATCGGCAAGCAATGTTGAAGTTGCTCCTGTTATTCGTTTCGATAAAGGCACGTTGCCAAAGTTTTAACGCATCTATCCCTCCATTGTCCCGGTTTTTCAACGAAGAATACAGCTATTATTACAGTCTTACCTAATATGTGCATGAAGGTTGCACTTGAAAACGGCACATTCTCACTGAAAATAAATCGAAGTAGTGCACCCGAATTTACACGTTTCCTCACTGCACTATCTTACGTTTCATTCATAGAAGTCCATGTTAGAATGCGGTCATGAAACTCCCTTGGTCTGGGAGCATTGCGTGTTAGGAACATTTGATCTCATGTGGGTCATCGTGATCCTTTTGTCTCATTGAGAGGATTCATATGAGAGGATGTAGAGAATAGCTGAGCTGTAAGGAAACGTAGCTGGTCATGCCTGTGAGATGTGTCATATCGAAAGAGATGATACTTTTTATCATGTGCACGGCAGAGGCCTAATATTGCGAACAAGTTAGGGGGCTAAGAGGGGAAAATGACTAAATCCGCCATCAAATATGCCAAGAGCGACTTTCTCCTCAAGTTTGACCCACTTTCTTCTCCAAGTTGGATAGGCTGGGGCTCACCCCACCCCGACTCCCACCCCACCCACCCAACTAGACATGAGACCAGCACCCAAAAACAGCCACATCCCTGTGCTATGGTCGCGTACCCACAACAGCTCAGTTTCATGGGTACCGCACTAGCGTAGGTAAGGTAGGGCTGGTAATGGCGCTGTTGCTGGCTTTCACTGTATGAAATCCAAACATTTCTTGGTACCACCGAAGCTCGGGCCTTGCCATCTCAGGCGCTGTTCCAGCCAGTGCTGAGTCACTACCGGCTGTAGGAACCACCCAGCAAAGCTAGTAGCCGTGTCCGGTTTTTTTTTGTTGTTGACAACCCAACTTTTATCTGCGGTTTTCAGCCAGAGTACCTCGCAAACTTTTAAAAGCATGCTTGTAAAGGCGTATTGTGGGATAAAATCGCGGTTGGACTGCTTATAAGCAAGATCATTATTCATGGACAGATATGATGCGAGGTCTCTTTCTACCGAGACATTCTGAAACTTGACAAAACATTCGTTGGCATTTGACGCAGAAGCGACAAAACAAACTTCAATATCCTAGGTACGTCCCTCTTCACAGACATGCAGTACTTCCAAACATTACGTACCTAAACGTGATCCGCGATGAATGGGGATTGAATCAAATGGTCCTTACACCCCACCTGCTCCACACAGCATCGATATCAATAATAATGGCGCAGCCAGCATCCAACGATTTCGGCCGATTCACACGGCTAGGGGTCAGGCCTAGCATCCGCCCAGAAATTGTTTAAACTTATGGCATGAACTTCAGACAGAATGTCTATGTAGTGTTCCGCTTCATAAGGTTAACTTGTGCTTTATAAGATACACGTAGATTTGCTATTGCATGCCAATGAAATTGCATATCGATAATACTTTCCTTGTCATTGTTTAGTACAGTGACGCCTAACATAACACTGCATTGCTCCGAATCAGTAGGCGGGTCTGGGGCTGTAGTCTGGCAGTGGAGGCTTCGTGGACGACTTGTTAGTAATTCGGCAGTTCGTTGTCCTCCCTAGTGTCCGGCCGACTTGCTAACTACGCAGATTGTGAATGGATGCGTTTCGGAAGATGCTAGATTCGATCTTTCACGCTTCACGTTCATGGTGACCACTGTTTCTGCGGAAATCCACGATGTCAAGAAATGTTGTCCATATTCATTTGTCATCTGTGTTATCGTTTGCACGGCTTTTCGGCCAGATCCTTGCAATTTAACTTCTTCGGCTTGAGGCTTCAGAGGGCTCGAGGCTGTGATGCACAGGTACACGTAGGTACACGTAGGTACACGTAGGTACACGTAGGTACACGTAGGTACACGCCAAACATATCGAGATCCTTCCCGGTACCAATAATACCGGACGATGGCCGAAACGGTGTGCAAACAGCGGAGCTCCTGGCGGAAACGGTAGGCCACATACTAACTTCATCGTTTATACGTGCTTAGCTGAGCTCTGCAAGCTGACATTGATTTCGTTACAAAGCTACAATGCCACCTGCTTTTCGCGACGTCAGTTGCCTGTGCTACTGTTATGCCTCTGTTGGCATTAAGCATATTTGGCTTTTGCAACATGTCAGGCGCGCTTTACGTCGTGTTCCACTGCGCTAAATGTGGTTTGGAGTTCCCAAATCACGCGCGCTCCCTGCATTAATGACAAATGTATCCATGTGCTGCCGGCTGGCATGATTCGAGCTGATGACTGCACGCAACTGCATACCTCTGAAGCTGCTGGAGGGTCTTTACACGCCCGTGACTTGGCTAGTACTAAGGCTCTTGAACACGAGGCTTCGACGCAACGCTACCATAGCTGGTACCGTTGCGTCGTAAACCCGCAAGCGAAAAACGTTGTTATACCATACGGCCGTGGCACGATCAAGCAGAATGGTCGCCTTTTCCATGCATCCAGCCGTGGACGTGGAAATCCAACGTCGGGAATTCATTTAGCTGCAAAAGTTCATTCCATGAGTTCGGAAACGGGATGTCAAGATAGAATTGGAATCGATATTGCAGTTGAAGTGGGGCGGGGCTGCTGCGTGCAACATTGTCGATATAGTCGTTTGCAGTGTACATGCCATCCGATGTGCATTCCACTAACGGAAAAAATTAGCAATTGCGGCGCAAGGTGCACTTGACACTTACCACTTTTCAAATGTATGTGCAAATACGGCAAGCGTCTTTGAGTGGTGATACCATATGCGGGCATGCACGTAACAAGATCAGTTACCTTGGTTTTGGTCGCACACTAACCACGCACACGCGAGCATTTCATTGGAGATGGTTTGAACAAATGGGCAGCTAAGAAAAAAATTTGCTACCGAACGCCAAAATCGTCTGGCGCTGCAGGCGCGCGAGCTAATTCGTATGCAATGGCGGATCGAGGGGAAGGAGCGGGCGGGGGAAAGATTATTGGGGCCATAGTCTCCAAAGGCGGAGAAAATGCGGTATTTTCCTTTCTTGCTCATGCTTTGAGGCAATTGGTGCGTTC